GTGATAAAAAAATGATTTTGATTGGACTCAAATTGAAAAAGAAAAAACTTGATTATCGGGTTAAAAGTAGGTCCGAAAATTGGTCATTCCGTATTTTACAAACCCTACAAAGAGTTTAAGTCCGATTGACCTCAAACTTTTACCAATTCTTCTTCTACACGTGATCTATCGTTGGGCTTAGCGCAACCTCGTGCCAACGAATACGAGCTGTGCTAGAGGTTTTCCAAAAATCCAGGTTTTTGCCACTAAATTTCTCTTTTTCCAATTATAGCAGAGTTGTGGCACAAAACCAAAGTGATATTCGGGATCAGCTTGTCGAGCTGCATCGAATCATATATAACAATAAGTATTTTTCGAAAAACAATTTGGGTCTTTTGCTGGATATCACACCGAAAATTGGTCATCCAGTATTTTGTTAACCCTACAAACAGATTAAGTCCAATTGATCTGAAATTTTTACCGATTATTCTTCTCTATGTGATATATTGTTGGGCTTAGCGCCACCTCGCGCCAATGAACCAAGGCTGTGCTAGAAGTTTTCCAGAAATCCAGGCTTCTGCCCCTGAATTCCTATTTTCTCGATTCCGATAGCATTGTACCGCAAAATGAATATGATATTCGGAATCAGCGAGCAAAACTGCATCGGATGATGTATGACACAAAACATTTTCTACCAAAAAACGTTTTTCGGAAATCTGGGCAAGGGTTCCCCTCAGGTGTTTCATCCCGAATTTTTTTTTTCAAAAAATGCTTTGTTTTCGTAAATTCGATTTTCTAAGTAATATACAAACATTTGTGAGTAATGGCAACCCGTTTCAGAGCACAATAGTTACATGTCCGCCTGCTTCATGAAAGTTGCCCACTGTGCAAGTGTAGATGAGACACACGGATTCTTCAATGATGTGCAATAGTCGAGTGATTCTTTTATTCAAGAAACTTCGTACTTGACGAGCTCTGATCGTTACATAGATGAACAAAACCGGAATAAAACTCTTCTAAAAACATATTGATTTACCCTTTTCTGTTTCTAAAGAGTAAAGCTGCGCGAGTGACAAATAGACTCATTTTATTCGGACAGATGAGCGTGATGGACTTTGAGCTTTTACTTTACATTCAATACCCGGTACAGGAACAAGAAATTCTAGCTCGTTAGTTACAATAGGAGCTAAGATACAAACGATGAATCATATTGACCAGCACTATACTATACAGGTTCGTAGTGAATTTTTTCCCAGCAATACTTATTTGTACAGTAATGCTGACGTGGCCAACGCAATAAAAAAGAGAACGAGGCACATGCTTTTATCTTACCATTTTTTACGTTTCTTTCCACATATGAGTTGGAAAAAGAACAGCGTCTGCTGTAAATAAAAGGTCGAGCGCTGACATACTGTTGCTTTCTCTTCACCGCTGAGTATTTTTATTGCTTATCGACACCAATTTTTTCCTTTCGATGTATTGTCTCCATATTCTCTGTTGCAGATAAAGCATGACCGCTACGAACCGTCAAGTGCAACGCATTCAACGAGATTTAACAACACTCGAACAGCATCCATTGAATTTTATTCAAAATTTAGCATTGTCTGTTAATGATGGAGGTCTTCAACAAATCACTGGTGTAATGCTAGGCCCAGAGAATAGTCCATATACGGGTGGCTATTTTCGTTTTGCAATGTCATTTCCCCAAGAATACCCATTCAAACCACCTAATATTGCCTTCGTCACTGCCATCTGTCACCCAAACATTCATTCAGGCACTGGTGAAACTTCAGATAATAGAATTTTCACCTCATGGGCTCCTAAAATAACAATAAGCGAAGTGCTTGAATCGATACATTTGCTATTATCAAGTCCCAATTATGATACACCAATTGAAGCAGAAACGATGCCGGACAAGAGCCCTCAAAAGGCTCGCGAGTGGACTCTGGCTTTTGCTCAAGGTCCGTAATTGACAGAAGTAAAACGTGCTTTTTATTTTATGATCAAGATCAGTCATCCTCTTGCTCATTGTGCTCGTGATACTCTCGCCTTTTCGATCTGTTTATTGTTTTTTTTCTATTATAACATGAAATACTTTATGTGACATAGCGTCGTGCAATTGTGTTTTCATAACATTTTGTCGTCTCATTGCATGTCTATTTTAGCAAGAGAGAAGCCGAGTCTAGGGTGAGTATGGATATGGGTATGCGTGTGGGTGTTAATCTTTTTGCCTCATACCAGCACCCACACCCCAATCAATACATTTTTATACGTTGTTTGAAGTAACTGAATAGAACTGATAAAACAAAGAAATAAGACATTTTCTAAATAATTCTTCAGCAGAGAATATTTCACAATAAAAGATGAACGAACAAGAAATACAAATTATGAATATTTAGATATTGATTCAATTAATAAGGAACTCTTCATCAGATGTTTATACATTTTGTCACAGATCTTTTGAAAATTAATATTAAAAAATCTTTATGAAATCCAAATTGTCCTACTCTTGTTAAAATATTGACAATATACTTCAATCCAAATTAACTAATCTCAAATATCTTGAAATAGCGACATTGATCTTGTGTCATAGATAAACAGTAAGGATAAGTAGACACATCCTTGGTTGATATCAAAAATGATTGTGCATGTTTAGTTTGACAAATCTTTGATGGGTGTACAGAATCAATTTCAAATATTTTAGATCTTTCTGCATACTGCTTTTAACAAGATCCTTTAAATATGAGAATGATCGCAAAAAATAGACGAGTATGACTTCAGCAAAAGAATTTCAATGACTTTTGTTTAGTATATAAAATGTTGACTTTGATGAAAAGAGCCATATTGTATCCAAGATCAGAGTATTTTTTTTATAGAAAATCAACTTTCCAAACCTTTCATTGATGTAAATTGCATCGTAATCGTTCGATTCCAATGAACGGCATTTTCCTGAATGATAACATGAAATAAAATATGGATCAATATTTCTAAAGAAAGTTAAAAATAAAACAATTCGTCTAAGACTTAAGATTAGTCTTTACACATTTATCAGTAGCTTTTAGTTTCTAACTCAAATAAATTATCGAACACAATTTAAAACGATTATAACTATCAAATTATAAATCTTCTTGTATCGAACTTTCTAAGAAATTCAACAGATTCGAATGATGAACCATGGGTGAAAGATGTCAATGCATGATTCGACGGGTATCATATCTTACCGACTAAAGTAACCTAATCGTTTAGTTTGATCTTCTTTCTCATGTTGATCTAATCATATTTGTGCGAATAAAGGGTTACAACCTTGTCCCCTTCTCTATATTGTACTTGTATTCGTTTCCATCATCTATGAATATCATAGCTTGTTATCCAGTATGGGCAAGGAAAAATATTCGTTTCTTTTGGACCGCATCTGTCCCTTTGTTCAAGCTTATCGAATGAATACACAACGCAGTAGAATGCTCCTCTTCTTTGTTCATTGGACGTTTTTCTTCGAATATCTGAATTTGTTTCATTCGTATTATTAAAACCATGAAATAAAGTATCGATCATCGCCCTTCAAATAGGTTCACGTTCACTGAAGAAGAAAGTATACTTTTTTTTTCTTATGCAAATATTAACATGTCATCCGAATTTGTTTACTAAAGATCATCATTTAACATTTGAATTCTTTCAAGCGAACTGACTCTCGATCTATTCGAATATTTCACAACAAAAGATATTCTACAATCATTCTTCAATCTTATTTCCATGATCAATTTCTGTATATTCTTCGATCGACGCCAACAACTTCATTTGTATCTTGATTGTCAAATGCTCCTTATTCATGAGAATTATTCTTTCAATCAAGTCATCTCACTTACACATTGAACATGTTATTGTTCGGATTAATAGATTTCCGAATCTTAAATCACTTTCCATCGTCCATAGCAACGAACAGAAATATGAATGTTTCGGCATGGTTATACAGGTTAGACAGAATGATAATGAAATCATTCTTAGTAAGTGTGGATCTAATAGAAAAATTTGAATGGCTTGATATATTTGAACGTCATATAGAATTTTAGAAAAGAAAATACTCTGTCAGATTTCTAAGTAAATAATAATCAAACACAATTCTTTGGATTACAAGCTATCGGCACACAAATTTGAAATACAGAAGGATTTACTTCAGTGTGTATCCAACTTCTAACATATGTCGGAAATTCTTTAGTTGTGGATACGAGTTTTCGATTTTCTTAACTGATGAACCTTCAAGTTTATTTTGCACGGATAATCGGAACCACAATTCTTATGTACAATTAGATATTTATCATTTCGAGTTGTTTTCTGCATGTCATTCGTAATTGTCACACTCGATCAGGTTTTTCGAACGAATAATTGATTGACTTTTACTGGGTTTTATATAACTAAATAGATGGATTCGAGATGCTGATCTAGTCTTACTTTATCAATTTTGTACAGATTGTTTCAAAAGTTTGTCGAGAAGGTTAACGTAAATTTCTCTTATACAATTTAAGCGATTTATTGAATCTTTTTATTATATGACAATAAAAAACGTTTTACTATTAAGAAAATTTTGAGTCATCTATGGTTGCGGAATGAAAGCTGCAAGTTAGTTGTATTAGAACGCTTTTGTGAAAGTCATCCTGAAAAGGATCAAGAATGTTCTGGTAGACTGTCAAACATTACATTTAACTCAAGTTAACAGTACACAGATTTTCGACTAAATATCTTTCATGAAAACTGTACCATGTGCAATTGTTTCATGCCATGAAGCAAGCTGTTGCGACAGCTCGAACAGTTAATAGTGGTTCATTCTTGTGAACGTTATAACTGTCATCAATTTTTTTCTGCTGTAATTTTGCATGGTCTTCCAGAGCATTCTCGATCTTCCATTGTGCCAATGTCAGAAAAGCTTTCATGAGAGCTAAGTGTAATTCTTCCTTATCACAACTCTAAGAATCAAGCAGAAAAACATAATTTTTTTTGAGGTACCCCTAGGATCCACGAATTCGCAATTCAAGGAAATTCGAGAAAATCAACCAACCCAACAGACGTACATAAGATATTAGGTTACCAGCCTTCACTACGATAGAATTCTGGCAAATTCCAGAAAATCAAGCAATTCAAGAGACTGAAAGCAATTCTAGAGATTCAAGGAATTCAATAAACATACAGAGCAGGGTGTGGGTGTGTGGTGTAGATGCGAGCTCTTCTCATCTTTGTCCGCACTCACACCCACACCCAAACCTCATACCGACACCCACACGCACCAACACGTATACTCGGAATTCCTCCCTTTTTCTTGAATTGCTTACATTGCTTGAATTTCTTCATTTCCTTGAATTCCATGATACTTCCAGGGAATATAATTCCAATATGTATGGATATATTGAATTTCTTGAATTCCTTGAATTGCTTGAATTCTTTGATTTGCTTCAATTCCATGATACTTCCAGGGGATAAAGTTGAAAGATACATGGATATGTTGAATTCCTTGAATTGCTGAGATTTTCTTGAATTGCCAATTTTTGGATCCTAGGTACTACTGTTTTTTTTTATTTAGACAACCGGGTTGTCTCAACTTGTTAACTTTGCTCTATCATTAGTCGACTCTAAGCTGACTTCAATTGAACACAAAATGATTGAATTTACTTTATGTCATCGGGTGGGTGTAGGTGTTGGTGAGTGGGTGTCGCAGTGACTGTGGCTGTATCATTTTATTGGAAACACACCCATACCCAAGTTGCACACCCACATCCTCCTTCTACTCAGAAACCATCGAATACTAATCTAGAGTGCCCCTCAAGTACAGTAAGTATATCACAAGAGATTTACCAGACATTGAATTTCGAATTGAAAATGATATTATTAGAAAGTGTAAATTGCATGACACATCCAGTGAAAAGATCTCGCTGTTACACTCAGAGATGGAACCGATACCGCTAACCGGCCGGACCGGTCGGGTCCGGTCCGATACCGGTCTGACCGGTCTAAACCGGTCTCACCGATCGAAACAGCCCTATATCGATCTATATTTTTCACTTTCCTGCTCTATGATGATATTCATATGAAAAAACAACTGGCACCAAGACTGGTTCCACTGGTCACACAGGAATTTATTTAAGAAACAGTTTTCAGAATGCCCATCAGTGGGACTATTGTTATCAATGGTGAAACATTATACCAGTATGCGTGAAAGTACAAGGGTAGCTCGTAAGAGAGTTCACTATGAAACAAGGTTTCATTTCAAGCCTCATCCTGTTGTGTGTAGATCGATATTTTGTCGGTAGGTCCGATTTTCTCTTTTACGCTGACGTATCATCAGCATCCTGTTTAGTACCGGTAGGCTGGTTTTGGCCAGTAGACCGATCAGATCAACTTTTTTGCGGTAAACCGGTTTGGTCCTGTCCGACCGGTTTTTACTGGCAGACCGATTTCATCTCTGACCGGAGATACATTAAAAAGGAGTTTCACTGTAAGAATTGACTCAGACCAAACAAGCAAACGGTAAGATCTTATATAATCCTACATCTGATCCTGTATGATCTTGTAGGAACAGATGAAAAATCGTACGAAAATCATGGCCTCAGAATTCTTGCATCAAGTCGTACCTTAAGATTCTTGGCAGATCTTGCTGTTCTGTAAGATATTACTGTAAGATTATAGACAAATCTTGTATCACAATAAGACCTTATAAGAATCTTATAATGCGATTTGACGTAAGATTTCTGAGACCACGACTTTTTGTACGATTTCACCTGATTGTACAAGACTTGATGTTTGATTTTTCGACCTGGGAATGTATTATTGGTAAGTCAGTTTTACCGGTACCGGTAACGGTCTGAAAAAAACTAGACCGGTTCCATATATGGGTGCACCCGTAAATAGTATAAGATCATAAAGCAAAAATAATGATTATTTGTAGCAATATGACTCAATTTGACCGGTGTTCGGCAATTATCAATTGAAAAAGTTTTGAATGAGTTAAACTTTCTAATAGAAAAACTAATTCTGCGTCGAATACGTCTACTTTGGTTTGATTGAAATTGTGTTTTGATGGACTTTCAAGTCAAAAGCTGACTTTTAGTGCTTGCTGAAAATGATTCGAATGTCCCTTATTATCCAACTCACTTTAAAAACAATGCGATATTTTTAATCAGCAGATTAATGTCTATTGAACTAGAAGTGTTTTCACTAAAAACAAGACAAAACGTTTTTCTCGATTCCTGAGGGGGACCCAGATATGAAAAAATAAGTGACTATAAAATATAAAGTAAACTTATGAAAACCCATCAGGGACGCGTGCTGATTCTCAGGATAATAATGATTAAGCTCAGATTTCTTGGGATAGTAAGTTTGTAATCTGACACATCTTCTCTACATATACAATTCTTTTGCTTTTTTTTATTCCAATGCTGGTACGTTCATTTCTTGACTCTATTCCAGGTAAAAAAGTTAAGTCATTGCCAACATTTACCTAGACCAAACACGGTGACATTTCTAATGGAACAAAAACAGTCGACTGTTCATGAAATACACAAGATCCTTGAGCAAAGTCACACGACAGCCATGCAACCCATCACTCTATAGCCCTTGACAAAGTTTGTGACAATGTTCGTGAAGGCTGTATCAAGTAATGACAGCAAGTAGGACATCAGCTCCCAAGAGACATGGTGTCTATCTCCAAAAAGCATTCAAAGACGTAAGGTGACTACGCCCAGATACTTCGTCAAGGACATGAGAACCACTCTTACAAGTGACATGGAGAGAGGTGCGGATTACCGCTACATAGTACTCGGCCATTTATGAGTATTCGTGTTATATAGCCTATGATGAGTTATGAGTACCTTCATTATATACCTTATGATGAGTCATAGGTACACCTAGAATGTCCCTTGAACACTTGTGGGTATCCTCGAGGATAAACCTGGAAAACTTATAGGAATCTTATTAACGCGCATCCCATCAGCTCTCGGATCTGAGAGAATCTGTTCGAACAGACTAGCTGAGATCAGATCAGCGTTTCGAACGATTTTTCAGTTCGAAACTGTTACGAAACTGTCGTACCACTAATCAATTTGGAGAACGTGAACGTCTCGAATGCTTATCTAAACGAATATATGTAAATAGTATTTGCATACATTTACTAGTAAATATATTTACTTTTCTGAAGTAAATGGTATATAATCATTTACTTATTTATCAGTAAAGTAAAAGTAAAAGACCACCCTTAGTGGAGAGGAGCCAGGCGGTTATTCAATACCATCATTAGATTACGTTTTAAAACAGTATTTGGATGCTAGTAACTAGCTTTTGTCTTTTTTTTTAGTTTTCATTATTTATGATGTTTTTGTATTGAACTTGGCTTCAAGATCACAGATACAAAATTGATTAGTGGAAATTTCAAAAAACAAAACAAATATAATTTACTGAAAAACACTTGAATTCAGTTTGATATTCTCTTCTTCTTTTGCTAGCATAAAGATTCTAGTGCATACAAGACTGATGGCCAGCTCTCTCTCTCTCTCTCTCTTCCGAGCTGTGGCGTGATCATTAAAAATCTTCTTTCGGGTGTCGGACACATTGTGAGCGTCTGGCCATTTCGACTCTTATTCTTTTCTCGAATGCTCGAACGAAAAACACAATCAGAGGAAAAAATGCCGACTGCTGAGAGCAAAAATGAAACAAAAGAATAAAAAAGAACAGAACGCAGAAAGGTGTGATACTCACAAACAGACGCACATATCTAAGAACTATGTGAACGCATATGGGATGCCTTTAGCACACACGCGCACTGGCGAGCACAGCAACTTGGATTTTTCTTTCACCCAGGTGACGTTAGTCGAGAAGGAAAGGAAGAAAATATGTGTATCTTTTCTTCATATATTACAGAACAGAACAAGATTGCACAACAGATTTCATTTTGATGACTTGAAAGAACGGTGCACGGTAGTGACAACATCACAAAATGCCGCTATGTATCGAAAATTTGCCTGTCGAAGTATGGCATATCATTTTCTCGTTTATTGAGGCGTCTGACTTGAAAAGAGCATTTTCTTGCCTCAATTTCTTTATTACTGGTCTACTTCGTTCGTCTAATCTTCGTGTCTACATGAATATAAAAACAGGTGGATGCAAAGAGCTACGCCTATCCCGTATTCCCTTTTGTCATGAAGCAATTGAAACATTGCGTGCCAATATTCATGGCAGTTCCGATGTTCTTATCTTTCTTCACGCTGCTGGCACACTTTCAAATCTTCGATCGCTCTCGCTTCATATACGACGGCAAAGAAAATGTCCTCTATTGGTTTCTATCCTACCTCGGCTTCCGTGTCTCGAACAACTAACAGTCCGTTGTAATATCTTTAGTACTAGTCGTGACATGGAACCTCTCTACATTGAAATTCTACAACTACCGCAGTTACGAATATGTGAGCTTCACCTGTCGCAAGACTATTTCGAAATGCCTAAATTTCATTCGACTTTGCCAATTAGTAACTCTTTACGGCGCTTTCATATAGACGCCTGGATCCGATCTGCTGATTTATGTCATCTTCTCAAGTCCATGCCTTCATTGCGCTTTCTGAATGCCTATCTTTATCATCATAATCGCAGTAGTTGGAATGACCTTTCGTTACCTCAGTTAACCAAAACAGCATGCGTATTGCTGGTCAGTGAACATGTCAACTTAGAAAATCTTGCTCAAGCAGCACCAAACCTCATCAGTTTCCGTCTCCAGATTGAACCGTATCACGGTCAGTTTACTAGAGAATTCATGGAGACATACGGTTTTACCAGTCCTCAAGTAAAACGTGTCCATGTTCAAATGACTTTGAAAAAGAATATCAACACTGGTATGCTCGAACTATTACCATCTGTCATAGTCCAAGGACAAAAGCTCGTTGAAAAACACTTGGATGAAGGACGGGATTTTCACGAATATAGTCTTGTTGAGAAATACTTTAACTTCGTTTAAAATGCTTATTACCTCTTTTTCTTCTTATTATCATTACTACTGAAAAATAAGAGACTCTGATATTCCATAAATTATCGCTGGCTTGAAATTTCACCTGGGTGTGGGTGTGGGTCTCCATTTCAGTCAACCCCACACTTTAATAATAATACAGAATAGCCAGACGATGACCCGCTCTATAAAATAAATCCCCTTTTGTGCGACTTGCAGGAAAAATTTTCGAATAGCTTTCATCCGTATCAAAATGTTTATATTGATAAAAGCAGGATATCTTTTAAAGGTCGTCTAAAATTCAAGCAATATATTCCTTAGAAAAGAAATCATTTGGTATCAAGTTATTTCTTAAATGTGACTGTTCGACTGGATTTGTTCTAAATTTCATAGACTATACTGAAAGTGCTACTGAACTGGTTCGGATTTCGGAACTTGATATTCCTGGCTCAATCGTTATGGCACTACTGAAGAAATACTTTGACAAAAGTCATGTGCTTTACGTTGATATTTGGTACTCGAGTTCAAATTTATTCCAAGTTCTGTATGAACGCTCAACTGGAGCCTGTAGTACCGTGCGAAATAATCATGCTGGTTTTCCAGTATTTCATGAGAAATTGCAGCAGGGAGAACAGTCTCTGTTACATACAGCTTACATGTTAGCTTTGAAATAGCATGATAAGAGGGATATATACATGTTGTCCACTGTGCATGATTCTTTAATGATATCGACAAGCACGAAAAATTTACTTACTGGCAAAGAGAAACTGAAGCCATTATACGTAAAAGAAGACAATCAGAACAGAGCTGCCATGGACAAAGCGGATATGCAGTTGATGTTTTCGGAATCCCTTCTGTTGGACTGTGTATTACCGACTGTTTCAAAGATTTTCATACTTTACAAAAGATTTAACATTATATTCCTAAAATTCTGTTAAACAAGATCAGAAATAAAAAGTTATGAAAACTTTCTAACGAATATTTTTTTTCTTTCTTATACCAGTAACCAAATGGGTTAAACAATCGAAGTAGCTCGGTCGATAAAAACTATAATTATTCAATCATTTTCTCTCATATGAGATAATGATATACCCATTTTGCATTTTAATACCATACTTATTTCTATTAAACAATATTCAAGCTTTATCTACTGTTATTGCTCTTGCTGATACAATATGATCATTAATGGCAACCTATGTTTCTATTTGACTAACAAAACGAATAATCGATACCATAAATGCATGAAAGGGTGAAATTTCGATTTGTTCGTTTGTCAGCAAGATATAATTATCATCGTTGTCGGATATTTCTTCCTTTTGATATTCCGTCGTTGTATATCTGTTCTTTCTTTTGAAATATGCATATTGTCGACTGCCATCAATTCAAAGATTCTGTTTACGAATAAGATCATTGCCCATAATGCATGTTTGCCATAGCTTGGGAACAACATAGACTCTATGTATACGCGTGTCCAATGTGAGATGGTGATTGAGAGTGACAGGACATATTTAGCATGTAGTTGTGATCTATGCACCAGTCGGAGGCATAAATTCGGTTCGCAAATTATTTATAACCAACTGAAAGGGTGTGGGTGTGGGTATTCTGTGTTTTATTTCAAATTAAACGAGATCGAACAGTACTCTAAATGTCTATATATGTATGTATGCTAATAAAAATATATGAAAAAAATAAGCGTCAAGCATTATGTATATTAACCAGTTCAGTATTCATTATTGGTTTTCATAGATAAAATGGTATTGAAAAAACATTTTGGCCGGTGGTTTTGGTGGTGGCAGATACTGTTTCATCTTGCAAATAAATCTGAAGAAAATATCAAGTGTTACTGGATGTTCTTCTTTTGATTTATTCACCAGGGAATACATTTCAGTAGGTAGTGTTTGACAGTGTTGATGGAATTCAATTAGTGTTACTCCATCCATTGATTTACAGATTGGTACTAGTGGTTGAAGTTCGTTGTCAACAAGAAATTCATTGACATTTTCTTTGGTCCACATCATCGCTGAACTCATGGTCAAATATTCTCGTGTTTGTATGGGTTGCGGTTCAATCTCTTCGGGAACTGGTTCAGGTTTGGGCTCAGCCGATGATGTATCAGCTGATTTTTCCTTTTCATCCGTGACAGCTTCGTCTAGATCTTGACGTTTGATTTCAGCAATCAAGAGTTCATAGGCTTTCTCGAATTCTTCATCTTCCTTATCTGCAAAATCGATATATATTTTAGAGCCTGCCATAAAACCTAACCACCCATCAGGAGTATAATCTTTTTCGACTTTTAGCGGGATGATTTTACTCTTTCGATTGAATGCGTACTCAGCTTCTGCTTGACAGTTGGTACTCATCTTGTAATTGCTCGACATGCATATTAATATGATTCGAGAATCTTCGACAGCTTCCGCCATGCTTTCGACGATTGAACCACGCATTTCATCTCTATCTAACCAAACGCTATAGCCATCCTTTTCTAAACGATCGTTTATTTGGTGGCACAACTCTTTTTGTGCCCAACAATAAGAAATCATCATGTCGTACTGTTGAGGTTTCCCTTCGTCACCTGCCTCTTCTTTTGTTTTCTTGCCGTCATCTGTTGCTTCTTTAGGCTTCTTTTCGTCACCTGCCTCTTCTTTTGTTTTCTTGCCGTCATCTGCTGCTTCTTTAGGCTTCTTTTCATCAGCTGTCGCTTCTTTTGTTTTCTTGCCGTCATCTGCTGCTTCTTTAGGCTTCTTTTGATCACCTGCTGCCTTTTCAGGTTTCTGTTTATTATCAGCCGCTTCTTCAGGCTTTTCTGTCGATTGTTCCTTCAATTTCTTGTCTTCGACTTCTTTTATGAACTTTTCTTCATCTTCCAATTTCCAAATGACTCCATAGGCTGCATCAGCCACTTTCTTGTTGTCGGATTGTCGCAGTTTTTCTACATGATCGACAAAGTCTCGATCTTCACTGAGTGCTTTCTTTGCATCTGCATTGAATGAGAGTGCATAGGCAACTTCTAACGGTGCAGGATCGTTCATTGCGTTTTTGGTGTACTGAATAATAGATGGTAGAGCATCCTGTTCCACAATTTCCTGTTTAATATCATCGCTGTGTACTAGATCTAACATGACAAAACATCAAAAAGTTATGTTTGTATCTAACTTTAAGAGTTCACTAACCCTTCAAGCCTAGCATGAGATTTTCAGCCGTCCGATCTTTTCCTTCTTCCAGTGCTGCGTTGAAAATTTTCACAAATAATTCTGTAACCTTTGCTGCATCGTTAGTTGTGACAAATTCTTCTTCTGGGACGAGCAAGGAAAGTAATTCGTATGCGTGTAGTTGCATCTTTTCGTTGCGATTGTCATTTGAGAACTGTCTAAGGACTTCTAATAATTTACTATCATCGCTCGCCTGCTTTTTCAGTTCAGACAAAATCTTGGGATCGGAATGAACAAGGTCAAGCAGAATGTTGATTGCAGTATCAACAAGTGTGATGCGTTCTTCTTCAACATTAGGATCAGAAAGTGATTGTTTTTGCAGCATTGTCACCAGGGCTTCCTGAATATCGCATTTTTCTTCTAATGGTAAGGCATTTAAATCGGATAGAATGAATCGGATCGGATAAAGAAGACATAACACAACAGTATCGGTCCATTTTTCTATGTTGGGTAGAAAATGAGTAAAAAGTTCACCGTAATGAGGAGCCATATGCTTTAGTAGATTTTGAAAATGAAATTTGTCGGTATCACACGTGAGAATATAATCCGGACAAGTTATGAGAAGAAACTGTTGCGTCACGGTCAGAATGGATGCATTAACATCACCGAGATTATATAATGTTTTAGTATAGAAACGATTGGACACACATCGAACAATAATATCAATCAATTGATCACATTCCGTATTAGTATATGCCTGAATAAGCCAATCGAATGATTGTAAATTGGGATCTTCTATTCCTTCAATATCCAAATAATAACCATGGGAAGCAATATCATCCGCACACTTTTTTGCCAAATCAGTTAGTCTTGTCTGTTGATTGAGCCATTGTGTAGCTTCACCATTGTTCTTGGTGAAATTGAGCAAATATTGGCTATATTTCTGGAATTTATCTTGTCGATTTTGATCCAATGAACGATGGTCATGCCAATATTCCAAAATTTCACAGAGTTCCTTTGATAAATATTCATTGAGAAATACTTGTTCGTCAACATCTTTATCGACAAGAGTAGACAAGGATGAGAAAGATATTTGGTTGTTGCGTTTTTTCCACACGTCCAGTGCACCTTTTGCCTGCTTTTGAACTTCATACCACTGCAGTGCTTGCTTTCTTTCAGTCATATTGATTATTTTTTACGTGTTGACTTTGTAAAAGAAAAAAAAAAGAAAATTAACTACAAATTGGATGGTATCTTTTTTATTGAGGACCGACCATGAAGCAGCAGTCATGCATGATCGAATTCGAATCAACGCCGTCCTTACACACAAGAAAAAGAGTCAATATTGTGTATATAAAAGAGAAAACACATCACTCATACAATTAATCTATCATGTCCTTACCTGAAAGAAATACTCGTAAAAAAAATTTTTTTTTTTCACAGTAGATTTTCTAATATACAGTATTCACTTTTTAATCAAACACATTTTACAACACACAGCTTAGAAAAAGGTACTCGATTGAGATATTTTTATTTTGCAAAATTTTCATTATATCTGAAGACGAAAACATTTTGATAAATATGAAGTCAATTAGAATAATGAAATGAACATATGACTTGTATGTACAGTAGCTACAATGAAATGTTTCAAAAATAATTACAGCGAACAAAAGTTTTGTGTATTATTTATTCCCTCGACTGTCGAGAAGGTCATATGAAAAAAAAATACACTCTAACTTAAAATGTGTCGTATTTATGTGTCGTGCATCCCAGCATAAAAATGTGTCGCTCTTAGAATGTATCGTAGACGAATTTGTTGCGTTCTGTTTGTTCACTATTCATTCACCGTTTTTGTTATGTACGCATAGCCGTATATAAGCAACAGGGTTGAACGTAAGAAAGATAAATATTTTCAAAATAATTTTTTTCTACATTATTTCTCGATAATTTATTAGTCGAGAAAATGCCAGTCTCGATCAATATTCGAGAGAGGACTACCATGAACCGGTCTGACGGAGATCCGGCCAATTCCAGGCTGGACAGATCTCAAGATCTAACTTGCTTGAGTTTTCAGCACAGAAATAATTATAATGGAATTAAATTGAAAAAAATTCATAACATGCTCTTTCAGAAGAACCAATAAAAAATGTGGCGCAAGGAGCACCTCGTGTCGTGCTTTAATGTGTCGCGTATCGTGCTGTAAATCACAACACATGCGACACATTTTAACTTAGTGTGTGCGTTTGTATGTGGCAAGGTCAATGGTCAAAAAACATAAGAGGTGAAGTTGTGGTAGTGGGGGTAGTCTACGGTAGCCAAGCTTAGTTAAGAGTAATTAAAGGTAGTTAAGGTCTACTAAGACTAATTAAAGTTAGCTTAAGCTACTTAATGGTTGTAAAGAATAGTTAAGAGAAGTTGGAAGTAGTTAAGAGTAAGGAAGGCCAACTAAGTTGAGTTGATGCTATATGAGAAAAACAGTATTAGAAAAAAATATTACGTTGACTGGAGAGAGTCATATAAAATAAAATGAGTTGGCTGGGGTTTTTTTGGTGAAAGAAAGGCTTTTTTACGAAAATAATAATTTTATATAAATTTTGACTAAATGTAATCGAAGCCGAGGAATTGAAATCTGTGATTGATTTTTCAAAACTCTGAGTTTGATATTTTTGGTTAAGAAAAGGGGTTTTTACGAAAATAATGATTTTTTACAAGGCTTAACCGAAGGTAATTGAGGTCCAGATATTCACATTTTCAGTAGGTTCCTGGAAATTTCCAGTCACAGTTTTATAATTAGGGAAATGGTTTTTAGGAAAACGATACTTTTTTGCTGGACTGAACATCAGATGTTATGAGATAAAATGAGTTTCCGGTCTAGCAACCATTGGGAGAGTAACATATTCAGATGTGTCAGCATGATTACAGACTCGATAATTTCAGTAACGTGAAATATGTATGATTGCATATTTTGTAGGTGTGGGTGTGGGCACATTAGAAACGAGTACTCACACCCACACCCAAATCCTAGAGAAGCGTCATTTTACGTATCTTAAGTCCTAGATGTACGTGTCACATAAACTGAAGTCACGTATGTGTACCTTAGCCTCGGTATGACGGATTTTGCATTGAACTTGAGATAAATAAAATATTTTCGATAGTTCTGAGAGCTCTCTATCAGTGTCACACTCTAACTAAATATTGCTGATCAGATTTTTCTATGTTTCTGAGGCCCTATTCGTATGAAAAGTAAAAAAGAAGGATCTTAGGAGTAAACAAGGACAAAGAAGAACGTTCTGAAAAAAAGAAGGAAAGAAGGACCGCTGTGAAACCAGCAAACACTTAAATAGACTAGATATGGATCGATTCGATTTTATTTAAAACGACTTGCTGCTTTGAAATAATTGTCTATTGATAATAACCAACGAAAAAAACTAAATGATTTTTTATGATGATTATTCTATGCTAACCATTGTTCAATAGATTATCGACAAGAATTATGATCATAATGTGTACATGTTGCATTATAAAATGGTTAATTTTAAATAAAACATTTGAATCTATCGTCGATGAATGTTTATTTCATATGAAACAAATTCTTAATGTCAATCATCGAAATTATTCAACAATATTATTTAGAAAAAAAAACAAGTAAAAACTCAATCAAATCAATCGAATATATCGATTCGATACATTTAACAGTTGTTTTACATTGTTTATTATTAACGAAATGAAGATTAAAATTTAACAAATATATGAATAAGCATTTTTATATATTTAATTTAACATAGTTTTTGTCAACATAATGGGCAATCTACCATTATCGTTCTTCAGATGCTTTTTTTTGTTTGTTCTATCTGTCACATCGATGAATTTACTTTGAGAAAAAATCACCAACACTCTTTATTTTCATGTTAATATATGATGAATATCTTCGAAGATTTAAAATCTATACTAATTGACTATATTGATATAAATTCCTTTTTTACGCTATTGAATTGAGCTGAGTTGAGTTTTTCGCTTATAGAATCTAGATCTAATATGAAAACTATGACTGGTTCATCTCTGTTAAATACGCTAGCTGAACAACTAAGTTAAGACGAAAGGGGTAATTAAATTATATTAGTTCATGTAATTTGTCTTTCCATAGTTCAAGCTAATGAATATATTACTTCTCAGGATTTTTCATACATTGTGATTCACCGCAAATATGATGAAATTTCTTCAATGATCAATATCTTGCTAAGTTTTACTCGTC